CAACAAGATTGATTACGTTCATTGGGACGATCCCAACGAGCTTGTAGATCGTTTTCGATTGCTTGAGGTCTCTCGCCAAGCGGGTCACAATGATCACGATAACGAAATCAAGTCGATCATCGAAGAACTCCGCGAGACTGGACTTATTATAAATTAAACTGCATGTGAGTGATTCAACCAATTGACAACGACATGCCGATCAACAAGTTTGGAATATCGCTCGGAAGAAGCGGAACGAATCCGTACTATCAATATAGCGGATTAATTAGAAACTACGTTCGCGATAACGTTCTTTGTGTGGCCGCGACAGATTTTGATGCAAAGTCACGCAAGATTCGACGCGTAGTGCTGCCTGTAGATGATGACGATGCTGTCAACAAACAGTACGTTCAACAGAACATGCAAATTTTGAAAGATCGACAAGATGAGATGGAGAGGAAGATAGTAACGTACCAAAATAGCATGCAGAATATGATAAACGAACTTCACGAAATGATTCAGCGTATGACTCATCGCCAATAAGTTAAATCTCTCCGTTACGCGAACGTGCGTTTCTGATCGACATACGATCGATCCCCGTTCCATTCCCGTTCAACGTGCGTTACGCGAACGTGCGTTCCCGATCGACATACGATCGATCCCCGTTCCGTTCCCGTTCAACGTACGTTACGCGAACGTGCGTTCCCGTTCGACATACGATCCTCGTTCCGTTCGATATACGATCGGTCCCTGTTCCGTTCCCGTTGTAACGATACGCCTGGAATTACGTATCGTTCCCGGTAAAGAACCGGATGCCGCCGACCGTCAGGCGAAAGGTGGGCGTGAGGCGCCCACCGATAAACGCAAACAGCGAGCGCCCGCTCGGCGAAACGATCGCCGGCGGGAACGAACGAGGCGAACCGAACGCACGAGGACCGCTGTCGCGCGGATCCACGCCGCGCACGCGCACATATACGCTACCCTGACACCCGTCTACCCCCACCGACCAATTTTTACTTAATTGTAATAACAATTGGGGGTAGACAGGTATAAAAGACGGTCCCAGAGCCAAAAAGAGCAGATTCCGCCGCCAGCCTAGTTCCGATCCGAAACGAAGCCCACTCTAAGAATCCAATCCGCAAAAGCTTGCTCTCGATAGCGCTGATCCGAGGTGAGGAGTGACTCGCCTCTGCCGAGTGTTCTCGGCTCCGCTCTAGAAGACCGCAGCCTTTTGCAATCCTTAACCCTATCCCGGTGGATACAGCGAGGTGAGGTGTTACTCACCCCAGCGGGCTTTACTGCTGTCCACCGGTGCATCGTATCCAGGACACCCCGGCGTGCCCGGACTGAGAAGGAGGTGAGGAGTGACTCGCCCCCGTCGGTTCTTACCGGCATCCGGCACGACCGCACCGCCAACCGTAAAAACCAGCCACGGGATCTCACATCGGGAAAACGCCCGCCGATCAACCGCGCCGAACCGAGCCCGATACGGTCCGTGTTTACGCCGCGATACCGACGCGCCGACCGGCCATTCATACGGCCCGTACTCACGACGCCGAAATATACACGCGGACCTTTAAACCGCTCACGGCTGCGCCCGTGCGGCGCACGCGTCGCGCTACGCGATCGACGCTACAGCATACGCGATCACTTGTATATAACGCATTGTAAATACCATCCAATCATAACATGTAATAAATTTATTGTTTGCATAAATTATCGTCCAAGTTAAATCGTGCCCTGACTTCCACGCGAACTCTGGTCCGGCGAGCTAGTCCGGTTTGCTAACCACCATAACGGGGAGTTCGTTTCACCGTTCAACGTACGTTACGCGAACGTGTGTTCCCGATCGACATACGATCGATCCCCGTTCAACATACGATAACGCGAACGTGCGTTCCCGTTCAACATACGATCCTCGTTCCGTTCGATATACGATCGGTCCCTGTTCCGTTCCCGTTTAAAATCATTTGCTCATGGCTGAAAGGACAACATCTGAAAAGCGACAATTAGTGAAGGAACTGCACGCTCCAGCGAGAAGAAATTTTCCGCGAAGACGTGTCATAGTGCGCGGGTACAACGACCTGTGGCAAGCTGATGTAGTCGAGATGCGTCCTTACACGCGATTCAACAGAGGCTACCACTACATACTTACTGTTATCGATGTGCTGAGCAAGCATGCATGGGCCGTACCGCTCAAGGCCAAGAGCGGATGCGTTACTGCGGCAATCGCAAAGATAATTCGGGTCGATGGAAGATGTCCGAAAAATTTACAAACTGACAATGGAAAGGAATTTTACAATGCGAACGTGCAGAAACTCTTGAAGAAACACAACATTAACCATTATTCTACCTATTCCGTGATGAAGGCATCGGTCGTCGAACGATTCAATCGCACGCTAAAGAACGATATGTGGAAGATGTTTATATTAAATGGAAACTATAGATGGATCGACGCGCTGTCGCGTCTCGTATCAGATTACAACGCGCGAAAGCATCGGACTATCGGTATGGGGCCCATCGACGTCACACCCGTGATCGCCGACAAACTGTTGACGACGGTGTACAATCGCGTAAAGATTGCTGCACCCGCGCGATTCAGATTGGGTGACCCTGTACGCGTGAGTAAATTTAAGACCGTCTTTGAAAAAGGTTATACACCAAATTGGTCGACGGAGGTGTTTAAAATCAGCAAAGTGCAGAAAACTAATCCCGTGACGTATATACTGGAGGATTCCTGTGGAAAACCCATCGCTGGAGGATTCTATGGTAATTATTGACTATAGGGGAGTCAGCTCCAATGACCTTGACCTTGATATATGATGTCAGGGTTACCCTCCTGAGTAACCCTCAGAAGGTTTTAGCCGTCGCTCGTTGTTTGTTAAAAAGTTATTAAAAAAACAATGTCGACCAATTGTATGTAATTTTCAGACACAAATATTAAAAATTTTGAAAGCTGTTTTAAGCAAAAGTTGTAGATCTCTTTAAAATATACATTTTATGTCGTATTTAGTTTTACTGTATTAGTGATAGTTTTCGAGAAAAATGATGGACTCTAAATCTTATATCTGTCCTATCATCTAAGCATGTGCTTTGTAATACATATACGATTCCATTTGGATTTGCGACTTTGGTAATACTGAAGGAGAGGGGCCTCCTCACCGATTTTGATGAAAATTTACAGGATCGTGTATTTTTGCCTGTAAAACAAGAATCCGCAAGTTAAAATTGTCGCTCGGCACTAATAACAGAGTTATAAATTGTTAAAGTCTGACAGTTGTGGGGTTAGGATACCTGCCTTATCGACACCTACCGACAACATGTCTTGAAGTCTCATGATCACGTATTACGATTTCCGTAACTACTAAACACAAGGAATATTCCTACAGCTTCAATCTCTA